TATTGCATAGTCATATTAAATATATAAATTCTTGTATAAAAATGTATATTAAATACATTCATATCAAATAAATACATTTGTACTAAATAGATGTAATGATGCTTTAAGCTACTAAAGGGATAGTTCCCCCAAAAATGAAAATGTGATGTTTATCTGCTTACCCCCAGGGCATCCAGGATGTAGGTGACTTTGTTTCTTCAGTAGAACACAAATGATGATTTTTAACTCCAGCCGTTGCAGTCTATCAGTTGTATAATGCATGGCAATGGTAACAAAATCTATGAGAGTAAAAAAAACATGCACAGACAAATCCAAATGAAACCCTGCGGCTCGTGACGACACATTGATGTCCTAAGACACGAAACGATCGGTTTGTGCGAGAAACCGAACAGTATTTATATAATATTTTACCTCTAATACAACACTATGTCCAACTGTCTTTGAGCGCGCGCAGGCATCCGGTGCGTGAGGTGTGTACGTGCTCTGGCGTAGTTTACGCAAGCGCCGGAAGTGATCTCTCGCACGTATACGTCACTCATTGGTTACACAGTGCACAAATATTGTAGGTATGACGGCTAATCAAAATGGTACTTACTTGCGTTTATCCGGATTGTTCAAACCGACTTAAAACTAAAAGATTACGTTCTCTCGCGCGAACTCATTCGGGAGTGGTGACTTTCCACGTATTCCCAACTTCTGAGCCTGCTCGCCTGAAGTTATGGTTGATTGCTCTTCGGCTGGATATCAACACACCCATTAACGTAAACTACGCCAGAGCGCGTACACACCTCACGCATCGGATGCCGTGTGCGCGCTCAAGGCAGTTGGACATAGTATTGTATTAGAGGTAAAAAATGTTATAAATACTGTTCGGTTTCTCGCACAAACCGATCGTTTTGTGTCTTAGAACATCAATGTGTCGTCACGAGCCGCAGGGTTTCATTTGGATTTGTCTGTTTTTTTTTACTCTCATAGATTTTGTTGCCATCGCCATGCATTATATGACTGATAGACTGCAACGGCTGGACTTAAAAATGAAGAAAAGAAACAAAATCACCTACATCTTTGATGCCCTGGGGGTAAGCAGATAAACATCAAATTTTCATTTTTGGGTGAACTATCCCTTTAATGCATTACACAGTTTAAAAAATAAATTATATGTGTGCTGTTTTGTCTTATGTAAAGTGGTTACATGCCCTAAGATGACTTCAAAATCACAGCATCTGAAGGCAGAGATCACACACGATCAGTCGGCAAACACCCAACACCAAAAGCTCAGCCCAAAACTGCTGCCATTAAAGCTCAATGGGTTGAAACTGCAACAGCAAAGCTGACATCAGAGGCTCATGGCTGAACACCTCGGGGCTTCAGCTCCTCGCCTCCAGCCAGACTGGGACGAAAAATAGAAAGTGGCAAGAGAGGATGCCAGAGGGTCCAACAGGGGAGTCAAAAGGCTTTTTACAGTTTGTTTTTAAAAGGCACAACTAGATGGACCATGTGCTCCACAAAAGATTCAGGGATGCTGATGGCAAATAAGCTTTCAAAGCGATGCACGCTACGGAGACGCTGCATTATTCACAAGCGCAGGTGACTGCAGACAAGACAGCGAAGAGAAGAGGAAGAAAGGTCTCAGCCAGGACTAGGAGAAAGAGGGGAAACCCAGGGAGAAAGATGCTGAGGTTTTTTAACATCACGCACATTTAACAGCGTTTACTAAAAACGGCCTGACTGCACCCCCTGACCCCATTACAGAAGACGATGAAAATAATTCTGAAAAAGAAAATGAATGCCCTTTGCTAAAAAGACCAGCTTAATTTTCCAAGCTGGTTCAAAGCTCATCCACCTAGAAAACAACAATGGAGAGCAAATGCACACTAGTACTGGTGTCTCCTGCTTGCCAGATGTTTCTCCTGAGAAAAGACATCTCACGTGTCTTATCAGTGATCTCAATAATATCTCAGACTGTGCTCAGACTGGATAACGCACCTAAATATACAATTAAAAATCAGAATAATATACAGTAAATTCAAACATTTCTCAACTTCTTCTAGCTAGCTACATTTTTATATTATCTGCGTGTCAATAATTGGCTATTGTTGTTTTTTATTTTGGGAGAAGCATCTGAGAGAAAGTTACTTGCAAATTTTGTGTGTGATCAAATTTGACTGTTTTATTTACTGTATTATTAAATATTATATATATATAAAATATTTAATAATTATCAATAATGAATAAATAAAATACAAATATCAACTAAATAAATAATAAATACACTTGTTTTTGATAAATGAATAAATCCGTATTTAATAAATATTCACATTTATAACTTAAATTCATATCTGAGACATAAATATTCATATTTAATAGTTCAATTTTTAATAAGAAAATATTCCTTTTTAATAAGAAATAAAAAATAAACAAAATTGATAAAACAAAACCAGAGACAAAGTTACTTGCAAAGTTGATATGCGATTAAAAACAAATACTTTTTTTTTCATATTTGATCAATTAAATTAATATTTACTAATTATCCATAATTAATGCATAAAATATAAATGTTTAAATAAATAAATAATAAATAAATGCATTTTTTTTTATAAATGAATAAATCTATATTTAATAAATATAGCTTTTTTAATACAAATATTCCTTTTTAATAAAAATATTTGTAAAAATTTTAAATTAAAAAAACAATTAAATAAACAAAATATTTTATTTTTTTATTTATTAAAATGTCCACCACGACACATTTAAATGATTGCAATAAGATTATTAGTCAAATACTTGTGTGTGTGTGTGTGTGTGTGTGTGTGTGTGTGTGTGTGTGTGTGTGTGTGTGTGTGTTTCTGAATGAGTTTTTTTTATTTGATGACAGTTTTGAGGAATAGTAAAGACATTTAGGAGGGCTTCTATAAACCTTCAACAGCCCCATGGTCAATTAGGCTTTAGATATGCTATAGCCAAAGGCAGGTGTTATTACAGATAAATTCTCATTCTAGACAGAATTTGATTGGACAAAATCTGTTTTTGGCCGGTCATCCCACAAGAGAAATACTTCACTGTAAAATATTAAATGCAATGTACAGACGATTCAATAAGTGAACAATAAGCTAAATATTACACTAATTACACTAATATAGGCTTAATATATGTTATATATCGTGATGTGTGTGTGTGTGTGTACCTGTTTTTCTATTCTGGTGGGGACTAAAACCTGAATACACACAGACTCATGGGGACTCATGTCACGGTGGGGACCTAAATTGAGGTCCCCACGGGTAAACAAGCTAATAAATCACACAGAATGAAGTTTTTTGAAAATCTAAAAATGCAAAAAGTTTCCTGTGAGGGGTAGGTTTAGGGGGGTAGGGTTGGTGTAGGGCAATAGAATATACGGTCTGTACAGTAGAAAAACCATTACGCCTATGGAGAGTCCCCACAAGGACAGCAAACCAGACATGTGTGTGTGTGTGTGTGTGAGTGTGTGTGTGTGTGTTCAATCCGATGTGTAACAGTTAGACCAGCAAACCTACAAACTCACCAAATGAAAATGTCCAAAAGTCTAGAGAAAGTTTATTCATTGTGTAGCAAGACACAAACGTGAAAGCAAGGTGAGAGGTTTACCTGTGATACTCAAACAGCGCAATCCTACGGAGTGACTCTCAGGACAGTCGTCTGCACTTTTTATTAATGGAGAAATAGATTCAGCTTTTTATAGACACAACTTGACTTTCAAATTAGTTATTTACATGCACTTCAAATAAATCCAAAACTTAGGCTATGAAATATAAGAATTTACCAGAAAACAGAAAAGAATGGCCATAAATTAATAAAAGAGCCTATGGGGTTTAATATCTGTAAACACTAAAGAAAAAAATACTGTAGTTTCTTCGTTCCTGTTTTGTTTTGCGCGCTTTAAAATGAAAAAAAAAGCACTTCACTACAGTCTCTGACTGTGAATAAGAGCTGTGATGTAGCAGTACTGTGCTGCAAAATGACAGTGATTAACGCTCTGCATTACAGTGACCTCTTTTATATTCATATTAACTGCAATAATATGACATCCACACTTTGTTGTTGCTTGGGTTCAATCAATCATATCGTTCTGCAATAGAAAGATTAATACAGATCTTCTTCTAAAGCCCTGAGGCTTGGACTTCAAGGCAGTGATAATAACTTTATTGTGACTGGTGCTATTTCTATTTATGGTAAATGCTTCATTTGTCCTTTATAGAGGCAGATTATTCCATTCTCAGACAGAAAAAAAACATGTACAAAACAAAATATGCAGCAGACAGAACCAGTATGTCTGCTGCATATTTTATTGTCTATGCATGTCTGCATCACATCATTTTATTGTCCTCATTCGTAAGTCGCTTTGGATAAAAGTGTCTGCTAAATGACTAAATGTAACCTTATCTGTTAAATTCAGTAAGGAGAAGCCAGGGCTGTCCTTAAGGTGGTGCAACTGGTGCCGCCGGGGTCCCCTGCGGTGAACGAACCAGGGGCCAAGTGTAAGCAATGCTGGCTTGCCATCTTGTAACAATAATTCCTTATTTTAATCGCAAATTTTGTATAATTTTTCCCTACCACACACACGTATATTTATATATAATTTATTTTCCACAGATGTTTAACTTTGAGCTGGAAAACTTACATTACCATTAGACGTTAGCTGCATTTTTTTTTCCCCCAGTATTTTAAACAAAAATAACTATTTAAATCACTATCTCCACATATGGTAAATATGAGTAACAGTTTTGGTGCTTTTAAAAAACAGAATAAAAACAATTTCTTTGGAATTGTCATCTGAAGTGAAGTGATTGGTGAGGTTTGAGATGAACCATCATCATATGAGGATAAGAATTTCTCAAACATTATTCCAGCCTTTAATACCAAAGCTCTCGGTGTAGTTGCTGAATATGTACAGTACATCAATACTACATTAACATACAAGCTGAAGAGATTACATTTATTTGGAGGAATCACACTGAGCGGTGTTTATAAAAACAACATTTATTAGTCACGTTCCAATTGACTATTCAACTGAGGATACAGAGATGATACTGAAGATGCTAATAATGAGGGAAAGACGGCAAATCAAACTGATACAAGCCAAATGGAATGTGGTACAAAAAAAAACAAAAAAAAAAGTTGGCATAAATACAAAACAGAACTGACAGCACAGCCGTAGCACTTTATATAGCTAAAAGAGAGAGATCTAATTTACAACTCTACACCTTGTTAAAGAGGTCAAGCTACTTGGAGGCGAGGTTCAGTGCTGCAAATCCATACAGTACATGAGTGGGACCCGTAACGACAAACGCAAGAATCGCTGAACTGAAGGTCCTCGCCAAGTCAGGCGTGACGCCGATCACAATTTGAGCTTCTTCTTGCGGCTGCGTCCATCTGGGGTCCCGTCTTGCTTGCGTTTCTGGGCCTATGGGGAAAGAGAGACTAATCATTAAAAATTCCTCTCCAGCTTACGAGCTCAATCTTCAGTTTCGCCAGCGGTTGTTGTGAATGGCACAAGCTCACCGAAGATGTGCGAGGGCCCCTCTTCTTCTTCTCCGCTTTCTCTCGCTCTTCCAGCTCCATGTTCTCCCGCTCGATGAGCGTGATCAGTGTGTTACATCTCCTCTGAAGCTCCTGCGGTTACATCACAGTGTTAGGACATTTCGAATGGATGAATATCACATGATTGCTCGTGATATGGCACATAAATCTCACCATGGCAGTGCGGGACTTGAGGAACCAGTCAAAGCGGAACTGGGGCGAGTTGCGTATGCACTGGCGCAGCTCATCATAAACGCTCTCCTTGTCAAAGCCCAGTTTGTGCAGCATGCAGATGAGAAATCGATCCTCCTCCTCGGTGTAGTTCTTGCCTTTGTTTGTGCCGTACGAGATCCTGAGCTGATGGAACGGCGCCTTATAACGGCCAATCTGAAGAGAGAAATACAAAACATTATGCCTTTCAATCAGTGGCATTTTAGTATCATATACTAAAAGTTTATTAATATTTTGCATTCGTTTTTTTGTTCGCACTTCAATTTTAGTAATTTTGGAGGGGTGCTTTATCCTTTTTATTAGTTTTTTTGTCTATATGGCATTTATAAAGTATTATTTTTAGTTTATTTATAGTGATTTTAAACTAAAACTTAAACTAAACGGAAATAGAAAAGTAGCAATGTTTATGGTTTTAGTTAACATCTCTCCTCTGAATTATAAATTCCGATAACACTTTATTTCAAATAAATGCTGTTCCTTTGAACTTTCTATTTTAAGGAAAACTGAAAGGTACGTTTTCAAAACTATTATGCAGCAAAAATAGTTTTCAACATTGATCATAATAAATTATGATAATAATAATAAACGCAAAGCAGCATATTAGAATAATTTTGATGCCTTAGAATTTTAATTGTTTCAGTATGATTGATATACGGAAATAGTTTCGCTAATATTTTGATTAGATAACTTCTATATTTTCACTTTAAATTGTTAAATCAGTCATTTTGTTGGGTGCTTTCATCATTGCTATTATAATTTTTTTTAAATGTCTATGGTATTAATTAGTTTGTTATTTTAGTACTTAAACTAAATGAAAAAAAAATGATACTACCTGAAATAAGTTTAAAAAAATTTTTTTTTTAAAGTTAGTTTATTTTAAATAAGAGAAAATGTTTGGTTTTAGTTAACTGTAACATCCCTGCTCTGAACTATAAATCCTTGTACTTGTTACATGTACTTACTACATATATTAATAACAGTAAATTATGAATAAAGACATGCAACTAACCCTAAACCAAATCCTAACACTAGAGTAAATTTCTCAGTACTTAAATGTATAACTCACTGTAACAAGGACACCTTCAAATAAAATACAACCTAAACACTTTGCTGAGAAACAACGGCGAGTGTCGCTCACTTTAGAGTCCAGTGCTTTCTTGATGCTGATTCTCCTCTGGATTCGGGCCTCTCCTCTCTCGATCTGAGCCATGATCTTCTCAATGTCCTGCAGCTCATTGCAGCGCTCCCAGAACACAGCTGCACACAAACACAACACATCTCGAGCACATGCTTCCTGTATACGGTTGTACTGTGCGCTGGTGGACGGTGTATTGACATACCAGAATATTCCATGACCTCCTCCGGGGTTTTGCCCTCGACCTCACGGGCGATATTCTCGATGTCATCTCTTCCCCACTTCTCATTGGCCTTGATGAACTGATTGAAGTCACGCTTGGTCCAGATAGTAAAGCCCTGAGTATATAAGACATATTGACATGACTTCAGAATAGAATAAGGAGTTTAATGTTATCAATACACTGGGATTCATTACACTTAGAAGGTGTCAAGTAAATATGAGAAGATATGGAAGTAAACTCCAGTGGGCCGTCACATGAATGACTTACCTGTGAGAGGAGGTTCTCCTTCTCCTCCAGCTCTTCCTCATTAAGAGGTTCAGCTTCATCGATCTTGGCCTGTTCCTCTTTCTGCATTTGGGCCGAGTTGGGCAGATCGGGGTTTCTTGGCACCTGTTAGTGCAGTAACATCATGCAACGGAAAATTTAGTAGGGATAATTGCTTCTGAAGAGTTTTTAACGTTATTCACTGCTCCATTGAACTGCATGTTAATCTATGACCATACTGAAAGTTAAAATCGCCTTGAAACTTCATTTGCAATCCTTTCTACTTGTGTAATGTGCCATATTTCTAAATTAGATTCTGAATAAGAATGACACACAGAGTGTGTACTAAGTACACTACCGTTCAAAAATTTGGGGTCCATACGTTTTTTTTTTCAAGAAATTAATACTTTTATTCAGCAAGGACGTGTTAAATTGATCAAATGTGGCAGTAAAGACATTTATAATGTTACAAAAGATTTCCGTTTCAAATAAAAGCGGTTCTTTTGAATGTCCTATTCATCAAAGAATCAGCATATTAGACTGAAGGATAACGAGACAATGAAGACTGGAGTAATGATGCTGAAAATTCAGCTTTGCATCACATGAATAAAACATTTCAATATAAAACAGTTATTTTAACTTGCATTCGATTCACAGTATTATTGTACTTTTGATCAAAAATGTAGCCACGTCAGCATATGAGACTTGAGACAAAACCACACACACAATAGTGTAAGAAGTGTCAATTTTGTGGACCCCAACATGAAGCTCAAAATATAGACACACCTTGTAGCCAATAGTCTTTCTGTAATACAGGATCTCTTTCTCCAGCAGCTCAAAAAGCCGAGGGGGAAAGAACTGGAAGTCTTGAACATTGGGCTGTTTGGGAGGACGGGGAGCCTGAGGGAACATGAGCAAGTCCATTAAAACAGCTCTAGGGTTTACAAATCAAGCGTGAGGGTTAATAATACCTTTGGTGCTTTGGGCTCACTGACACGCAGGGCCTCTCTGAAGTAAGCATCCACAGCGTAGTTGGCCTTGCGCTCTCTCTTGGGCGGCTCAATCCAGTTAGTGATGACCTGAGGAGAAGGGGAGTTCAGATCAGTCTATCATTTTCAACCCAACGCTATAATGACAAGTACTCATTGCCATTTGTAATGCATTACCTTTTTCTTTTCTCTGTAATCTTCACCCTCAAAGTTGTACACGCTGTTCTCTGTGTCCATGGTGAAGTTCCTCAGTGAGCTTTCTCCAAGATTGGCCAACTTCTCCTTCATCTCCATTGTCTAAAATAACCATTAGTAAAGTCATAAAGAGCATTTCTCTAAATTAACTGATACATTCTTTTCACACTTCAGTTTAGCTTTGTGAAGTCATTTCCCTAGATCAGGTCCTACCTTCTTCTTTCCTCTCTCCAAGATGGCATCAATGTCTTCATCGGTAATCTCGCTCTCCTTAGAGGCAAACACATGAGTGGCACCATGTCGAATGATGGACAGCATCTCGTCTTTGCCCAGTTTGCTCGTGTTTGGATCGACCAGCCTGCCTGTTGGGAAGCAACAGTATTAACTATACTAATGAAAAAATAAACAAAATGATGATGATGATGATGATGATAATAATAATAATAAACAATCCCATGAATTAGACTTTTTTTTTTTAATTAATAAAAAAAGTGTTACTTAGTATCTAATTATTTTATAAAATATAATTTTATAAAATATTTTAATTATATATACACATGAATTAGAAAATTAAGGAAAAAGGTGACTAATAATTGTATAAAATATTATAATTATTTTATAAAATATTATATATAGACTAATCATTTTATTCAAATTATATTTATTTAAGTAGCTTTCATTTGTTTCACATCTTACCTTGTTGTATGACAATAGAGTCCAAGCGGAGCTTCATTTCTGCACGTTCCACAATTCTTTCCTCCACTGTATTTTCTGTGATAAAACGAAACACGCGCACCTGTTTCTTTTGACCAATCCTGTGGGCACGATCCTGAACAAAGAAAATCCAATGAAAATGAATTACCACTCCATTCCAGAGAAGATCTGATGCTGCTTTTGGAGAGAAGGACTTTTTAATCAGTTCTGGCAAAGGGAGAAAAGCAATATGCTACCCGAGTGCAAACATCAAAGCAACAACATAGAATAGACTTCTAGAAAAAAGGTCAGTGTGCATAGTGACCATAGCCTGAAGATCCACTTGAGGATTCCAGTCCGAGTCGTAGATGATGACGACATCAGCAGTGGCCAGATTGATACCAAGACCTCCTGCTCTGGTGCTCAGTCGGTAATCTCGCTCTCCTTAGAGGCAAACACATGAGTGGCACCATGTCGAATGATGGACAGCATCTCGTCTTTGCCCAGTTTGCTCGTGTTTGGATCGACCAGCCTGCCTGTTGGGAAGCAACAGTATTAACTATACTAATGAAAAAATAAACAAAATGATGATGATGATGATGATGATAATAATAATAATAATAAACAATCCCATGAATTAGACTTTTTTTTTTTAATTAATAAAAAAAGTGTTACTTAGTATCTAATTATTTTATAAAATATAATTTTATAAAATATTTTAATTATATATACACATGAATTAGAAAATTAAGGAAAAAGGTGACTAATAATTGTATAAAATATTATAATTATTTTATAAAATATTATATATAGACTAATCATTTTATTCAAATTATATTTATTTAAGTAGCTTTCATTTGTTTCACATCTTACCTTGTTGTATGACAATAGAGTCCAAGCGGAGCTTCATTTCTGCACGTTCCACAATTCTTTCCTCCACTGTATTTTCTGTGATAAAACGAAACACGCGCACCTGTTTCTTTTGACCAATCCTGTGGGCACGATCCTGAACAAAGAAAATCCAATGAAAGTAAATTAACACTCCATTCCACAAGAGGTCTGATGCTGCTGCTGCTTTTTAAATCAGAGTTCTGGCAGAGGAATAAAAGCAATATGCTACATGAGTCCAAACATCAAAGCAACAACATAGAATAGACTAGATAGAAAATAAAACAAATCAGTGTGCATAGTGACCATAGCCTGAAGATCCACTTGAGGATTCCAGTCCGAGTCGTAGATGATGACGACGTCAGCAGTGGCCAGATTGATACCGAGACCTCCTGCTCTGGTGCTCAACATGAACAGAAACTTCGAGCTGTTGGGCTCATTGAAGGTGTTGATGGAGATCTGAGGAGATCAGAAGAATGTTACAGACTCTCATTCGTTTGTGCTTATTTATCACGGAGCTGTTCAGTTATGGCAGAAGGCCAATTTATAATTATGACTCAAATCACTGTCACACCTGTCGCTCCTCATGAGGAGTCTGTCCGTCTAGACGGCAGTAACCGAAGTTGCGCCACATACAATAATCCTCCAGAATGTCCAGCACCCTGGTCATCTGACTGAAGATCAGCACACGGGAACCTGCAGGAAGAAAAAAAATGAGGCATGTAAAAACCATCAATTTATTGTTATCCCCCGTTGAGTATGTCGGACAGTAAAGTGGTCACCTTGCTCTTTGAGCTTCGGCAGCAGCTTGTCCAGTACCACCATCTTTCCACCGTTGACCACCAGGTGGAGGTCAGTGGTGTAGGGTGGGCCAGGCTCCGCTCCATCAAACAAGTAGGGGTGGTTGCAGCACTTCCTGAGCTGCATCAGTACGTTCAACAGACGCATTTTATCCATCTTCCCAGCAGAGTTCAGAATGTCAATGTCCTTCATCAAAATCTTGGTGTACCTAAAGTGAAATTATAACAGCTCATTATTTGTCTGTAGATACCGATACTTTGAGCTATTTATCTAAAAAATGCCTGGGAAGCCAACCTAGAAACACATTTCAGACATACATTAGAATTAATAATATTTACCATTCTCTCTGCATCTTGCTGAGTCCAATATACATCTTGATTTCCTTTTTGGGGAGGAGAGACTTCTCCACATCGGCTTTGATACGCCTCAGCAGGAATGGACGGAGTACCTATACCAGTAAGAGATTTGTTAGATAGATAGATAGATAGATAGAGAGAAAGAAAGATAGACTCAGTTTTTTCCCCCCAAAAATCATGTTTTTTTATTATGTTATTATTGTGTTTTGTTGTGTTAGTTAGCTGCATGTGTTAGTTGTTTTTTTACCTAATCAAAATAACCCGACTGCAGTATGATTGAGATTAATTGGAATGCACAATGAAAATGAAATTATTTTTGAAAAAAAAAAACACGTTTTGCTTAAATCTATTCTCACTTTAAATGTTTTTATTAATATTATAAATATTTCAAATACCATTTTATGTACATATATAAAAATACTTTTGAAATTTATAATTTAAAAAACACAATTTAAAATTTTGCATTAATATTGCATTCAAATTAAGCATGGTTTAGAACCACATGCTTAGATTTCTCAATCTAAAATATACTGTATATTTTCAAAATATATTGTCATTTCCTTTTGACCCAAGTATACATTTTAACAAGCGTTTTCATGGCATTCACCCATTGATTCAAGCTATAAATGTCTACATAGTAGTCGAAGGAAAATGTACTCACAGTATGTAGACGTTCCACCAGTTCTGTGTCTCCCAGACAGTTATTGGTGTCAAACCAGGAATCAAAATCCTGCACAAAAAGAAAAGACAAAAGGCATTCATAACCGGTTCAGCTGCAAAAAGGGAATTTCAAAAGCACTCTTCACAACATGTGCTTCTGCCAGAGTTCTTGTGGCAATATGCAAGAAAGAAGTGGCACCTCTGAGGAGTTGAAGACGTCAGGCAGCAGGAAGTTCAGCAGTGCCCAAAGCTCGTGAAGGTTGTTCTGTAGTGGGGTTCCAGTCAGCAGCAATCGATTTGTGGTCTTGAACTCTCTCACAATCTCTGAAAGCTGAGAGAACAAACTTTACTAGCTTACTTTTAGACTAAAGGAAACCATGGACTCGCAATCAATCTGTAACCAAGATGGAAGATGGATGCAACTGCAAACCTTTGATTTCTCATTCTTGATACGGTGAGCCTCATCAATGACCAGGTATCTCCAGTTGAACTTTTTGAAGACGGCCCTCTCGATAATAACCATCTCATAGGAAGTCACGCACACATCCCACTCGCCTGGCAGCAGCGTGTCACGCACAAAAGCCGTCTGCAACCAGAAGTGTTATTAGATGGGACAGTTTATGATGGTTAAAAAAATTTTTTTTTTTTTTAAGTATTCTTCTAGCTCTAATACACCATATGATCACAGGAAATCCCTACTTACTCTTTCATCCCTGTCCCCGATGAGGCAGACCGCTCGTAGAGAGGGAACCCAACGCTTGAACTCGTTCATCCAGTTATACAGGGTGGATTTGGGCACCAGAACCATGTGAGGTCCAGGAATGTTTCTATAATGCTTCATGTAGCCCAGCAGAGAGATGGTCTGTAGAGTCTTACCAAGACCCTGATGGGACAAAGGAAGACAAGAAGTGTGAGCCATTTGTAACGGGCACAGATTAAAACCAATTTCTGGGTGCTGAAATATTTTATAACTATAAAAAAAAAAAAAAGAAGAAAAATGGACTATGGGAGTTTCCATAACTTCAACAGGTTTGGAATCCACAATTTAAATGCAAAACAATTATATGAAATTCCTACATTTACTACTAAAAGGCCAATGAATCAGTGGGTGGAGTCATACCATTTCATCAGCAAGGATCCCGTTGATTCCGTTCTCATAGAGGGAAATGAGCCAGTTCAGTCCACGGACTTGGTAGTCTCTCAGTTTGCCATTTTTCACATCTGTTAAGAAACGTTCATTGGCCACAATAAGCTTTCTTTAGAATTACCATTTCATTTAATAGATGGAGGGTTTTACTGTGCGTTTAACTCACAGGAAGGCGAATCGTCAAAACGTGTGCAAACGCTAGTGGCCTTGCTGCTTTCACTCAGCAGCTCCTCGTCCTCCTCCTGCTCAGTCCGACGGTGGCGGTTACTAAAAACGCACACAAAATCAGTAAGCAGGGAGCAATTATCTGATAATCACATTACTAACACAAGGAGTTACGAACTAAATCGATAATAAGTGCAGTACTTAGGGCTGCATGATTTATGGGGAAAAAAAATCTAATTGCAATTTCAACTGATTTAAAAAAGAAAAACTGCAAGTTTTGCTCTGCTCGTCTGCACAATTTGGACACACATTTAAGATAAGAGATAGATACACACACACACATATATATTATATATATATATATATATATATGAAGAGTTCATTTGCAAAAACCGATAAACGCCACAAAAAAATAAATAAAAAATAAATAAATAAAGAGCTGATAGCCGTGCATTATTCTTCACATATAGCGCAATCTGAACCCTAAACACGTTTTGTCAAAAAAGCCAGTTGTGTTTACTTTCAAGGCATCGCGAGTTCACATTTTACTGCAGAAGCAGACAAGTGCCCTTGTTGTTTTTGAACAGAAGCCGATAAGTTAATTTTAGCGAATCAGCGCGCTGTATTCAGGTCAGGTGACAAGGCTACTTTCACTTTCAAAAGACGTGCTAGCTGAGAGGAGCTTCGTCAAAGCTGACTAAAAGTGATCGAGGATGGATCATTTCAACAAACCGGTGATATCTTCTTCAGGGCGAAAAAGGAAAATAAAAGCTGAAACTGCTTTTGCTATAAAACAAACTTTGAAAGTATGTTTTTTTTTTTTCAACTGCAGTTTGATTGATATTACTTGGAATGCGCAATAAAAAAAAAACCCTGTGATTTCTGAAAAAAAATTAAAATGGAGTTATCGGTTTTTGTAAATGAACTCTTCATATATTAATAGGACTTAAACTAATATAATTACTAAATAAAAATATTATTAACAGAAATTACATAAAAATAATACCAACTTAAAAATGATTACTAACACAAAAGACAAAACAGAGTATAAGGAAAACTTTGCATTAAAATTTAAATTAGTCACTCTAAAAATAAAAATAAATAAATAAAAAAAAGGTGTTCCCTCAAGTAAAATTCCCATTATTCTAATAACATATGACGTTGTTAAACATCTATATCACTGGCAGCATAATCTATTTGGAGAAAACAGATGGGAAAAATATTTGTGAAACCAATTCTGCTGGAACAGTGTGGGCAAACTCACTCTCCAGCAGAGAGCAGGTTCTGCTTCTCGTCTTGTTTTATGCGAGGGCGGCCAGGCTTCATCTTTAGAGGTGAAGTTGGGGTCTTCTGGGCAGCTGGTTGGATGAAATGAGCAAACAATTCAGTTTGCTTCAGGAGGTACTCGAATCTGTTGGTCCGGTCTGTTTTCTGTTGAAACAAAGCAGTAGAAGTCAACAACACACACAACGTCACGTCTGCTTACGGATCAACATTCTTGCATAACCGTAATATGCATTTTATACCTCAACTAACTTAGATTTTTATGGAAGGCTAAATGCATTACCACTTTTTCTTCATATCCACCCGGCTGGTCCTTTCCCTTTGCCAAGGGAGGTGATGACGACTGCGCTTCACTATCCATTGCTGTATCCGATGCTTCATCTTGCCCGTTTTCTGAAGCATCATCCTTAAAGAGAAACAATAATGTCATTTATGCTTGAACTTTTACTGCAAGAAAAAATATTACTTAAAGACAAAATTGATGGACAGTTTGTTTTTCCATTTCGATATTTCCCAATGATAGTCTTTCGTACATATTTTGATATACTTTTATACAATTTACAGCATTTGATTTAAAAATTAAGGTCACATTTATGAATTAAAAAAAAAACTAAATATGCATGGATGAACCATTCACAATAAGATCTCCAACATGCACATAAAAATGAGTGAATTTTCATTGCATGCCGACTTTAAAGGCAGAGTAAGTGATTTTTCAAAAAAAATCGCAAAACAAACTTGTAGCCAATCAGCAGTAAGGGGCGTGTCTACTCGTGATGTGGAGGAGAGAGAGTTCAGTGCACAGGACGGACATTAGCCGAGCAGAACGACAGAAAGATAGAGATGGCGGATAAACAAAAGAGGAAAGCATCTGCGGAACAAAAGAAGGCTTAAGGCAAGAAGTAGGACCCGTGTAAATACTTTACTTCTGTAGATGTTGTCTTTGCTGTTCATTTTGTTGCCAAATGAAAAAGATAAATCAATACGTGCCACATCTTTTGAGGCCATTCATTTATACAAAAAAAAAAAGTTTGTAAATCTATTTATTTGAAAACAATTTTTGGGTATGTCCGTTGTTATTTAGGAATGTTCATTTTTTGTAAGGAGAAACGTCTTTTACTGTTGCCAAAATTATGTACTGAACCTAATTTAGTAAACAAAAAAAAACTTTTTAATTTTTAAAAAAATGTTAAATGTTAAATCAAGCTGTATATCTAAACAGTTCTAATAACTATTAAAATTAATACAGTTTAAACCTTTTTACGGTTACAAATTATTTTAGTAGTGTGCTGCTAGAATATCTGTTTACATTGTAGCACTTTTCTTCTTAATGTGCATATTTTTTAAATGTGACAATATGCCCCAATAGCATTGTTGAGTTAAACTGTTCTTGTCTGAATGAATGTATGTGCTTGTATCACAGCTATTACAACAATAAAAAATTTACTAAATACAAATTTCATATAGTGTAATAATCCACTTATAATTGTATTGTTTACAAAAAAATGTGTCTTTATTCGTGTAAATGTTTTTCTGTTTTCTGTAAATTTTGTTGCAAAATTAAAAAGAAAAATCAATATGTGCCACATATTTTGGAGACTGTCTATATATATATATATATAAAAGTTCCAAAAAAATCTTGGGGATGTTTTTGGTAAGAAGAAATATATTTTACTCATGCCAAAATTATGTACTGAACCTAATTTAGTAAACAAAACAAAAACTTTTTATAGTTTTTTTTAAAGGGGTCCTATTATGCTCTTTTACAAAGTCTTGATTTTGTTTTAGGGGTGTACTAGAACAGGCTCTCATACTAGTTTGTTCGAAAAACACATTATTTTTCACATATTTTACATTATTACAACACCTCTCTCCCCAGTCTGGCATGAACGACTCAAATAGTTCCTGTATCAAATGAAGGCCCGCCTTCTGAAATACGAAATGTGCTGTGATTGCTTAGCTGGGCCAGTGTGTGCTGTGATCGGTTAGCTGGGCCAGTGTGTGTTGTGATCGGTTAGCTGGGCCAGTGTGTGTTGTGATCGGTTAGCTGGGCCAGTGTGTGTTGTGATCGGTTAGCTGGGCCAGTGTGTGTTGTGATCGGTTAGCTGGGCCAGTGTGTGTTGTGATCGGTTAGCTGGGCCAGTGTGTGTTGTGATCGGTTAGCTGGGCCAGTGTGTGTTGTGATCGGTTAGCTGGGCCAGTGTGTGTTGTGATCGGTTAGCTGGCTTCTTAATGTGCATATTTTTTAAATGTGACAATATGCCCCAATAGCATTGTTGAGTTAAACTGTTCTTGTCTGAATGAATGTATGTGCTTGTATCACAGCTATTACAACAATAAAAAATTTACTAAATACAAATTTCATATAGTGTAATAATCCACTTATAATTGTATTGTTTACAAAAAAATGTGTCTTTATTCGTGTAAATGTTTTTCTGTTTTCTGTAAATTTTGTTGCAAAATTAAAAAGAAAAATCAATATGTGCCACATATTTTGGAGACTGTCTATATATATATATATATAAAAGTTCCAAAAAAATCTTGGGGATGTTTTTGGTAAGAAGAAATATATTTTACTCATGCCAAAATTATGTACTGAACCTAATTTAGTAAACAAAACAAAAACTTTTTATAGTTTTTTTTAAAGGGGTCCTATTATGCTCTTTTACAAAGTCTTGATTTGTAAATCAAGCTGCATATGTAAATTCATATAATAAAATGAATACAGTTTAAAGCTGTTTAATGGTTGCAAATTATTTTAGTAGTGTTCCTATAGAATACATTTATATTGTTTCACATTTGTTTCTTAATGTGCATTATTTTTTAAACACGTGACAACATGCCCTAATAGCATTGAGTTAAACAATAGGTAGCTGATTCATTTCTGAATGCATGCATGTGTGGTCACTTGTTTCACAGCTATTACAACAACAATAATAATAATAATAAAAATAAAAAAAATAAAAATATGTTATTAGATCAAACAGAATTCACAAAATGTTTTTCGTGTTCAAAACCATTCTAAAGACAACCAGCACTGCTGACACAGATCTTTGTAGCAACTAAAATAAAGCTTGTGACAACTTTCCCTGATCTCACAGTTACCATGGTGCTGAATAATTACATTATTAATATACCATAGTATTCACATGGTCCTGTAAGTACTTTTGAAGAATGCTGTAATAATACCATTATGCTTTTTGTGTTTTTTGAACATTAAAGCATGTCAACATATTCTGTTACACCAAATAATGATCTTTAAAACAGCATCATATGACACCTTTAATTATTTTCCCAGTTTCCTAATTCTTACACCACAATGGTATATTTACAAGTCAAATAACCCAGTGGAATGTGAAAAGGACTCTTTTCCTAAGGGGATTTATAGCATAATTTGAAAAAAAAAAGTTTTATGTTTAACAGGAACATTCCAAAATACACGAACAGAAAACTGGATCTTTTATAACACATAAATGATGGTCAGCAGCACAGTATAGACTCCTGTAGTGTTTTTACCGCACTCACGCCGTGTGCATGTCTTTAAGCTGGCTCGCTCGCGCGCGAGGAATCTCGTGCCGTCTCGCGCAGCAGAATCAAACGAGATTCTTTTAACACAGACACATGTTCCATTTTCAGGTAAATGTTGTCTTCTTTTGTTTTTACCAAGTGCATGTGGAAATGGCTCTTTTCAAAGAGATTTAATCTGACAAGTGCGGTTTAGAAGATTTACATTTTGATGGAAAATTGCGGCTTTGTTTTTCGACTCTACAACATTGTTTGTGAGGCCTAACCATCAGTTTCCTCTGGTGTTGATATTGAACAAGATGTAAAAGCTTCATGAAATCTATAACAGCCAACTGTCCGTAGCGAATACCCGCTGTTTTGAGTTCAGTGTGGCCCAGATGTGTGTTATTAAACCTTTGGCCTTGTTAGCATGTTAGCGAGGCCGTGCTAGTACATCAACCAACCGGGGCGATGTAAACGCACTGGGCTCACTTTAATTTCCCAAGCTTTTTTATTTATTTCGTCACTCTGAGAATTATGTTTTCATGGCGAAAAGGTTTCTGTAAGATTTCGTTTTCTGTAACATTAAATGATTCTGCACTTAGCAGTTTGGATACTCCGTATTGATAACATGTATAAACTGTTTCTAAGGAACAATGCATCTTTTTAAGTTGTTAAAAGACCTAAATAATTAAGATTAAGATGTCCTCTACCACTGATCATGTTAGTTTTTGGTGAGCACAAGGACCATATTTTACCTTTGCATGTGGCTACAGCATCATTTTCCTTAAGACCACAGTTTTCCACCTCCTTAAGTTAGATCCCATACTTTATGACATGTTGAAAATGTATATATTGAATCTATATTGCTTCTGTGTTATTTTGCAGTCTTTTGACGATGACTGCACCCTGGAGGAGGAAGGGTTGGTAGAGGAAGATGAAATTGACCAGTTCAATGATGACACTTTCGGTGCGGGGGCAATCAGTAAGTAAAAAATCAATAAGTTTTTTTTTTCCCCGGCAATCCTGACACCTGGACTTATGGATTTACCCAACAAAGCCTACTGTATCACATTTGTGACCTAGGACCACAAAACCAGGCATACGAGTCTTTATTTTTTTATTAAAATTTAGATTTATACATCATCTGAATAAATAAGCTTTCCATGAATGTATGGTTTGCTAGGATAGGCCAATATTTGGCTTAGATACAACTATTTGAAAATCTGGAATATGAGGGTGCAAAAAAATCTAAATATTGAGAAAATCGTCTTTAAAGGTGCCATGGAATGGAAAACTGTATTTACCTTGGCATAGTTGAATAATAAGACCTGCACAGCCGAATCATCGATGCAGTGTTGCCAGATATTGCTATTAAAGCAAACAAAAACCGATAAATAAATAAAATTATTTCAAATTTATAGTCCAAAAAAACGCTTATAACAGCTGGATCTCACTCGCATCTCTGTCTCAAGCCTCGTTCACAAAATCTCTCAAAATCTGTATCTTCGTCTGATACAGGCTCAAACATATATGGTTGGATGCCTAATCTCTCCATCGTTCACGCCGGACAGTAGAGATCTGTTTGATGTGTGAGCTACTGAAATGAGCCGCGCTGTGAAACAGCCAATCAGAGCAGGGCTCAACATTATTATTCATGACGAAACAGCCAATCAGAGCAGAGCTCAACATTATTATTCATGACCCTTCCAAATAAGGTAATAACAGACAGTGGCGGCTCGTCGGGGGAGGCACAGCTTCCCCAAAATTTTGAGGTGAAAATGGGAGGAGGATGATTTAATGTTAATAAAATTAACAGTTCATGTCTCAGAATGTGTATTTTTTGTTTGTAATTTCACAGATGTAATACCATAACTTGTTAATGAAGTTGGAAAGCGCCGCTTTTCTATCGCGAATGTGCCGAATGTGCTGAATGTGCTGATGTAATTACAACCGCTAATGATAGAGAAGGGGAGGTGGAGGCCGGGTGAGCGCTGAGCTCTCATGCCTCCGTTGGAAAAAAAAATTAGCCAATCACCATCGAGTGTTCACTTTCAGCGCTGAGGAGTGTTGAGAAAAGAAACCCCGTAGGGGAGGCTAGCCTCCCTTCTGATATCAACCAATCATCGTAGAGAGAGAGTTTGAATGTCTCCCGCTGCGCTGATAATGTACCAATGTCACAACAGGCAGCTCTCTTTTAACACAGACTTTTAAGAAGGGATGGATGTTTTCTTCAAGTGATAGGCCAGGAATTATATTATCTTGCTGTATGTGTGTCGTCGTCTTTACGTTTTCTGACTAAAAGCAACCAAAAACCTTGCAAGGGAGGCTAGCCTCCCTTCTGATATCAACCAATCATCGTAGAGAGAGAGTTTGAATGTCTCCCGCTGCGCTGATAATGTACCAATGTCACAACAGGCAGCTCTCTTTTAACACAGACTTTTAAGAAGGGATGGATGTTTTCTTCAAGTGATAGGCCAGGAATTATATTATCTTGCTGTATGTGTGTCGTCGTCTTTACGTTTTCTGACTAAAAGCAACCAAAAAGCCATTTTAAAGTGGTTAAGCTAATAATAATAATCGGCAGGGATCCCAGACCAATACAATTAGTGTGCCTCCTCTATTTTAAACCCCACGAGCCGCCACTGATAACAGACCATTTCATTCTAGGGACAAATCCTAGGGTTGTAAATGGACATGTAAAACCGTTTCTGGAGAATTTTTACCCTTACATAAGCCACATACTTTCTATGTAGATATCAGAGAACAATTAAAAATATTTTATCAGTGCATTCTATGGCACCTTTAAAGTTGTCCAAATGAAGTTCTTAGCCATGCATATTACTAATCCAAAATTAACTTTTGATATATTTACGGTAGGAAATTTACTAAATATCTTCATGGAACATGATCTTTACTTAATATCCTAATGATTTTTGACATAAAATCGATAATTTTGACCCATACAATGTATTGTTGGCTATTGCTACAAATATACCCGTGTGACTTATGACAGGTTTTGTGGTCCAGGGTCACATTTGATACATGGATTTCTTATGCCTCTAAATGGCCAATGGTTAAAACTACTGAAAAACCTGTTGTACATAATCTACTACATGCAATTGATAGTTTGTACTTTTTAGCAAGTAAAAGGCGCTTTAGTGCAATTGTAAAAATTGTAAAGATTTTTATGAAGTAAATATAATAATAATTGATGTTGTTATTGATATTTCACAATTTCAAGAACATTTATTGGACTAAGCAACTTACAAACTATGAAAATTTCATGTTACTTTTTGGTATAAATATTAGCAAGGATTTATTAGGCTTTTATTTGGCCGATACAGATTTTAACTAGGGATGGGTCACGATTTTCGAATATTCGATTAGTTGATTTAATTATAGAATATTGAATAGGTTGTGCGATTATAGTCTTAAAAAAATGTCCCCATGTTTTCTGTGCTGATGCGGTGGTGATGTGTTCATGTGGCGCTGCCAATAACGCACCTAAAAGCTGTCAAAGACAACAGAAGAACAAATTGTCTCATCCGCACACTGTAGACTTGCGTGGCATAAAAAAAGACTTGCGCAGCATATAACGGTTACAGTAACTTGGGACGATGTCAAATAATAGTTTTGTGCGGACCACAAACACTCCCGACTGGGTTAGAGGTGTTTCTGAATCCGTGTTTAGAAAGGCACAGAAAACAAATAACGTGTTCTACAGAGCCACTAAAGGGACATGGTTAGCCGCTTGCTAGCGGTAGCCTGTTACATTACAGTACATAACATTTCACTTACCACGTAAACGGAGTAAGGAGAGATGACTGATAGGATGATGGCGAATGATTTGCAGATCCTGAGCACCACTGACAAACATCTAATCTTGTAAAATGTGTAAGTACTGCCGAGTGCTGCTCCGTACGTGTGATCGTGAATCTCGAAAGTGAAAGTAAAAAAACAAGCGTGCATTCATAAGCGATTTCAATGCCCCGCATTAATAACGGCTCCCTGATGCCTGCAGTTTATATTCAGTATAATTACTAGGGATGCACCAATACCACTTTTGCATATTATTGTAGTTTTGCACAGCTTGTCAGTGAACGACGGCACGCACATGATGGAGATTACTGCTGATTACAGAACGGGCTTTACTGACAAGATGCGCATTAATTATCACATGCGATTTATCGTGCAGCCCTATCCTTAATCTATAATAACTCCATTCTGTTGTTCTGTTGCATCCCTAATAATTACCCAACGATATAATTGCGACAGACAGAAGATATTGAAGTATATTTTTCCTCCCATCTCGTATCTATTCTCTTTAGGGATTAAATATTTTTTGAAATGGAAATGTCCTGGCCTTATGAGCAGTTGATTTATGCTAATCGACTGACTGTCATGTTAATAAGTGCCGTCATTCGGTTATGTTTATTATATTAATATGTTTCAGCACGTTGCAATCATTATATGGCTTGACAGACATTTAAGGTAGTCTAACTTCTGAATTAAACAGTTTATCATACAGATTGAAAGCGTGAATCCCGTCTCTCTCCCTTTCTCTCTGTTTATGGGCGTTTGTGCATTGCGAGGCAGGGGTGCAATTTTCGAATAATAATTGAATACTACTCAGCAATTTTCTAATATTATTTTTGCTTTGAATGCCCAAACAACTATTGGCCGATACCGATATTGGTCAATTGCATAAAGCAGGGCTTAAAAACGGGGGGGGAAAAACTATAATATTTTGATTGGTTCACACTGAACAAAATTGGTATTTGAACGTTTATGTTCCTAGGCTATTGCCGTTCCGAAACCGGGTTGAGTAGAAAAAATACCGGTTAATAATGTTATTTTTTAACTTTTTCTATGCCTATAATAATAATAATAATAATAAAGTACTGCGTTTTCTTTAATCAAAAAGAAAAAAAAACACTAGGGTCTTGGATCTGGCCAATACAGCATGGTCTTTTCTAGATTTTGACTAAATGTATTAAACAAAAGAAAAAAACTGTCAACGCTTTAAAGACATAAGTAAATTGTCAAGATATTTAAAAATGTTTGCAGCATGGATAAAAAAAACACTACTCCTTTAAGCGTTTTGAGAGGAAAAAACAGCCTAAATTAGTAGGCTGTACGTCGCATTTTATTATTATATTCAGAAATAATGTAGGCTAAAATACCCTAAATGAAGCAAAATATTTACAAACATTACAAACACAATTAGGCTATTTTAGTTCCCTTCTCTCCACAACAAATCCTCTAAAGTTGTAATCCAAAACTAATTAATTTAAAAGCAAAACCTCTCATTCTGCACAAATCCAAATGTTTCCATATTCACGATGTATCTGGATGCTAAAATATTATTTAGCCTATTCCTGTGTAAACTATAGGCTTTGTTCTTCACTCGCATTTTCAACGTAAAACGTCATCCTTCACATAAAAGCACAGTGAGGCGGTGGTCATGCTGAACGGCACTGACTATTTAAATTGAGCAGTGTAACTTTTTACGTTTCTTTAACTGGATTTTATTTTGATAATAAACTGGCTGCGATGTCAAGTTAGCAAAAATACAGTGGGTACGGAAAGTATTCAGACCCCCTTAAATTCAGAGTGAAAAATTTAAGGGGGTCTGAATACTTTCCGTACCCACTGTATGTGCGTGTGAGTCGCCGAGGCGATTCAAAGCATTAAAGCTTTTGCAAAACAAAGAAAACTGCTTTCCTCTGCTTTCTTGGTTTCCTTTCCGTGAACTTAAGAGCGCGTTACAATGATCCAAACTTGGCACATTTTTTTTCTTTCGTTTTGTTAATCTGTTAATGTTTTAAGTGACATATATTTTGTGTATAGGCCTATATTCCTTTTTATGTAGCCTATATAGCCTAAGTTTTTCTCCATTCACAGAAGCGCTGCAGGTGCGTGATGTGAACTTGTGTGAATCCGTGTTCTACACTATCCTGCCATTTTTGCTGGTTTTAAACACACAAAAAGCTGCATATTACCTGCCATCAATTTTCACTTAAATGTAGGCCTAATGCTTGGTGGTTTCGTGACATATCCTCGGGTAAACTAACGCCAGGGCATTGCCATTGCGACTTACCTCTGATGAATTTGCAGCTGAGCACGGGCATTTCACTCGTTGGATGTGTCGGCGTCACATTTGCATAGGCCGTACTATTGTCTGACACTATATTTTGTACAGATTTTATTTTGTTTTGACAAGTATTTAATTAATTTGCCCAGAGAAAAAGCATGCAACTCATTGTCTCCATGCAGTTAATTAATAAACCATCGGTATCGGCCCCTTTCATGCTATTTCCGATATGCCGATGGCTTTAAAATAATCAAAAATCGGCCGATAAATATCGGCGGCTGATACATCGGTGCATCCCTAGTCATAGTAAATGAGCCATAAAAATAAAAGGTGCATATATTTTGTCCGAAGGTAATGTTAAATTTAAAAAATGTTTTCTGACTATTATTTCATGTCTCAGACATGGTACTGCATCTAAGTTACATTGGCGTATCAGATTGTAACATCAGCTCATATGTTTTCCTCTCTAGATGATGATTGGCAGGAGGAGCATGCCCGCCTCGCAGAGCTTGATGAGCAGGTACGAGACGGAGTGCATGAAGCGGGTGACGCCTCCTCCGTTGACCTCCCTCTCGCTGGCGGCAATGCCCACTCTTCGGCCCTCGCTCAACCCTCCTCTTCCTCCCGGCTTTACCCTGACGTAGATGTACGGGGTGGTGGTGACCTGGCGGAGTCGCTGACTCGGCTCATCTTGGGCTCGGATCCTGCTATTGCTGGAGTGGGCACCGCCAGGTCGGACCGATCTCACCTTCCTCCAATGCTGTCCGGCCAGGCTCCTCAGCCCTCGGCATTAGCTGAACAGTCTTCTCTGCTGCTGAGCTACCAACAACAGCAGCAGCTTATGCGCAGAGGGCCAGCTCCTCTTCCACAGGTTTGTGTGATTGTCTCTCCATCATATTGAGCCATTATTGATATGATTAGTTTGTAAATCTATTTGTGAACATGCAAATGCCATCATCAGGGTGTGGACTGCAGCAGGTAACTTTAACAAACAGGTATTTTAAGGGTGTGGCAATATGTTACATGTTTGCCACATGTAAAATAGGGCTGCACAATTAATTAGAATAAAGCAAAAATAGTCTAATTATTGAATTGCAAAGACTGTGATTTAATTAAATACATTCGCTATATATTTCAAAGTGAAGTAAAAGTTTTAGAAATTGTATCTTATGTTAATGTAAAAAATCTTGTGTGATATAACTTGTGTTTGTTTGTTTGGTGGTTTTTATTGTATTTGTTATACTTGTACTTTTTTTTTTATTGTTTTTGCCATGAAAATAGCCTTTGATGCTGACATGGCATTAAATATATACTATACTTCAAAGTGAAGTATGTGTGTACAGTATTGTGTTTTACATGAGTAGCTCGTGATAGTGTTTTCAACATCTCTGTTGAAATAATACAATTTCAAAATAGTTTTCTTAGATACTTTTTTACATTAAAATTACTTGATGCATGTTTTATGCATGGGAAGTCGTGGCCTAATGGTTAGAGAGTCAGATTCGTAACCCAAAGGTTGCGGGTTCGAGTCTCATACCGGCAGGGATTGTAGGTGGGGGGGAGTGAATGTACAGCGCTCTCTCCCACCTTTAATACCACGACTGAGGTGCCCTTGAGCAAGGCACCGAACCCCCAACTGCTCCCCGGGCGCCGCAGCATAAATGGCTGCCCACTGCTTCAGGTGTGTGTTCACGGTGTGTGGGTGCACTTAGGATGGGATAAATGCAGAGCACTAATTCCGAGTATGGGTCACCATACTTGGCCATTAGCCACGTCACTTATATTCTTTGGATTCAGTTTTAAGGAACCTACTTTTTTAACCTCTTTATTATAAAGGGCAATGAGAATTTGGGAATTGCAAGTTCGAATTGCATTTTCTTATTTTTATGTTTTTATGTTTAGTCTGCCCTATATGAAAGCATCTAGTGTGCACTAAAGTGGATAAAATAGTGTTTAAACATATGTAGGAGCCTTCAGGTAAATTTAGCAGCATGCTTGGCTTTATTTTATGATGCGTCAACAAAAACAATGTGGATTTGTCTCTGTAATATTTATCTTACAGCTCTAAATATTCAGAATAAACAACCAATATTTCCCTTTTTCTTTTCCCCCATAGATAAACTCTCACAGTATTTGGGAAAACAGTATGGGCTTCGGTCCTGTTAGTTCTGGACTAGTCACTCAAAAAGAGGTAAAACATTTGTGTATATAAAATAAGCTTTCTCAAGTTTGCTTGATTGTCTTTCTGTGCTGTTCTTCTAAACTTCTCGATTAACTGCTCAGGACAAAACGCTTATGTCCATTATCAAAGAGGTGGGGCTTCCTAATCGGCCTCCTGGACTCAGCAGAGAAGAAGGGCGAGATTTGTCTGAAAGGGTTCCACCTCCTCGCTCCTGCTCACCTGTGATTGGAAGTCCACCTGTAAGGGCTGTACCTATTGGAACACCTCCGAAACAGCCCATGAGTCAAGTCCACAATCAGCATGTAAGATGTCATCCTTTATGCATTAAAATATTTACATTTAGTCATTTAGCAGAAGCTTTTATCCAAAGCGACTTACAAATGAGGACAACAAAAGCAATTAAAACCAGCAAAAGAGCAATAATATGAAAGTGCTATGACAAGTCTCGGTTTGCCAGCCATTTTTTTAATGCATGATGTAAAAGTGTACTTAAAACGTAGTATTTTTTTCTAAATCAACCCAAGGAGTGTTGATATGTTTGCATTTAATATTTCTGGGTGATGCAATGATTTACATTGAGTTAAAATGGTTCATTGGCTGTATGTTTCTTTTTTTTCTTCAGAATAATCACCCTTTAGCCGTTCACGTGAGAGCCACTATGCCACTGCGCTACCCACCTCCCTTCCCTGAGCGTCTGTCCCCCAACAACCTCCTCAGCATCGCTGTGAGTCCCAGATCAGTTCAGAATCAGTCAACTCCAACAGCCTGACAGTGGTGCTATGATACAGTGAAAAAAGTGAACAATTTTCCACACTTCGATGCCTGTTTGCTCATGCTCGAGGAGGCTCTGTTTAGAGGACATCTAATGTCTAAATGGCTTTTGGGAGGAAAACAATCTGGTATATCTATTTTGAAAGTTTTTGAACAGTATTGAAATGACAAATTATGATAAACCCTTTTTTTTTTTTTTGCTCTCTCAGAACTCACCGTTGTCTCATCCTCCATTCCCTGCTGGTGTTGGTCCTGTTCTGTCTCATATACAGAGAGCCCAACTGCTCAACTCTCAGGTGAGTTAATGATACATTAGTATTAGTATACACCGTCTAATAAGAGTGGTTCTAGAGCTTCAATCATGTCCTAACCATAGAAACATGATAAGCTTTTTTTCTATCTTGTGTTACGCTCTTCAGGTTGGTCAGTTCCCACGTGGTCCAGCTCCCCCATTATTACAGGGAGGTGTCGGGGGTTTCAGGCCATTCTTTGGGCAGTCTGGTCCTAGAATGGGTCCCCATGGGCCACCTCTTGGCCACGCACCCATCCGACACAACACCACCCACCTCCACCCGCAGCACCGCAGGATGCTCAACCAGAGGATGCAGAACAGAGGCTTGGGGTGGGTACCATCTGTCCTCTGAATGCCCGCCTCTGAATGACGCCTCACTTTGAAATGCCTCATGTAAATGTTTCTCATACGCTCAGTGATCACGTCGGAGGGAGAGGTGTTGGAGACAGGAGAATCAGAGATCCTTACAGCAATCTGATGACACAAAGAGAGAAGGAATGGGTAGCGAGGATTCAAATGATGCAGCTTCAAAGCACCGATCCGTATCTGGATGACTACTATTACCAGGTAATCACTCTTTTACCCATACTTACCCCAAGACTGACACATTTCAAATGAAAACTTTATTCTTCAAAGTTTGTTAATCTATTTTAGACTTTTAGACCAGGCTTGAGACATCAGAGTTCGTCTACCATCTAGTTATTTTCTAATACTGCTGTAGCTTGGATTAAAAAATATATATATATTGTGTAGATAATGTTATTGCTGGTTAATGGTGGCCTTTAATTCTTGTTTTGCAGAATTACTATGAAAAAATGGAGAAGCGTCAAGAGCGGGACCGAGACAACAGGAAGGAGCACACCACCAAACTCATCACTCCTCAGGTGGCTAAACTGGAGCACACCTATCGGCCAGGTAAAAAACAACACATGGCAAAATGGCATTAAAAAATGCCTGTCTTAGCATTCTTATGACTGCAAGCAAATCAAAAATTTATATTTTGTTGTTATTGATTTAATTGTGTATTTCTGTCAGGTCAGTTATTTCTATCCGTTCAAATGGTCTAATACTTTGTGATTGTGTTTGTTTCATAGTGCAGTTTGCCGGCTCGTTAGGAAAACTCACTGTCTCCAGTGTGAACAATCCAAGGAAAATGATTGATGCCGTGGTGACCACTCGCAGTGATGATGAGGTCAGCACTCTATTCCCTCACCCTTTTACATAGACTATTTTTATAAAACCGCTTATGAGGCTGTTTTTGGGTGCTTTTGAGTGGACCCATGCAAAAATGAACTCAACAGATTCGTTCTGGTCCTAGTAATGCATTTTTCTTCATTCAGTTTATTCAAAAGGTGCATGTTATTATGGTACCGTTTCTTTGTACCAATGTTCTTTATTTTGTCATTTTACAGGAAAAAAGAGAAAAGCAAGTGTGGAACAAAAGACGGCAAATCCTTTATACTGTGGAGAAGGTAAGAATGGAGAGAAGTGAAGCTTTTGTAGCCACCGTATTTTTATTCTGATTCAGGTGATTAATAAAAAATAAAAAAATAAAAAATAAATAAATATAATTAGTATTCCACGAAATATACTAACAAGTATAATATATATATAATACAGTAATAACCTGTATATTTTGTTATGCAGATGTACAGTCTACTATTAGAAGTGCAAGACTTTGAGAAGAAGTTCTTGCAGACCCCTGAGCACCAAAGAGATGCCCTGCTAGAACAGCATAAAACCCACACGGTGCAGCTCTACAACTCCCTCCGAGAAAAAGAGTGGGACAACCGGTGAGTGCGACAGGAAGAGCCACATGAGGACAGGCACATGAACTAGCCTAGTTGAGAAATGGTTTTATGATCATGTTTTTACATTTAGGTTAAGTAATTTAGCAGACGCTTTTATCCAAAGCGACTTAAAAATGAGGACAATGAAAGCAATCAAAATCAACAAAAGAGCAATAATAATGTAAGTGCTTTGACAAGTTTCCGTTAGACTAAATATTTTTAAAGAATATAATAAAAAGAAAACGAGTAGATAGAATAGTGAATGCTAGTGTTGGAGGGTCATTTTTATAATAAAAAGTAAATAAGCAGTTCGAATAGAAGTAGAATCGAGAGTGCAAGTGTTAGAGGGACGAGTTTTTTTTTATTAAAAAAAGAAAATGAATAGAATTAGAATAGAGAGTGCCGGAGTTAGGGGGTCAAATGAAGATGGAAGATATGTGTTTTTAGCCGATTCTTGAAGATGGCTAATGACTCAGCTACTCGAATCGAGTTGTGCAGGTCATTGCACCAGGAGGGAACAGTTAATGAAAAAGTCTGTGAAAGTGATTTTGTGCCTCTTTGGGATGGCACAATAATGCACCGTTCAATTGTAGAACGCAAGCTTCTAGAGGGCACATAACTCTGAAGTAGTGAATTTAGGTAAAGGGGTGCAGAGTCAGTGGTGGTTTTGTATGCAAACATTAATGCCTTGAATTTTACGTGAGCAGCTATTGGTAACCAGTGCAAGTTCATGAACAGAGCTGTAACATGCGTTCTTTTCGGCTCATTAAAGATTAATCTTGCATTCTGTCTTAATTGTAGAGGTTAGAATGAACTGGCTGGAAGACCTGTCAATAGTCCAGCCTGGACAAAACAAGAACTTGAACAAGGAGTGGTGTAGCATGTGTAGTTGTGTAGTCTTTTCTAATGTTGTATAAAGCAAATCTGCAGGACCAGGCAGTTTTTAGCAATGTGGTCTGAGAAATTCAGCTGATTTTGAAGGAGTTATTGTTGATGCACCTAGCTGGTTGGTGAAATTGTGATGAAATGATGGGTTTGTTGAAACCACAAGCAGTTCTGTCTTGGCAAGGTTGAGCTGAAAGTAATGGTGTCTGATGAAAGTAATGGTGCCACACCCTTGCTGAAAGTAATCAGCAAGAAATGTCTGTTAGACAAGCTGAGATGCGAGCAGCCATCGTCGGATCATCAGGATGGAATGAGAGGTAGAGTTGAGTGTCATCAGCATAGCAGTGATATGAAAAGCCATGTTTCTGAATGACAGAACCTAGTGATGCCATGTAGACAGAGAAGTAGGGCTGCAACTGACAATTATTTTGATAATTGATTAGTTGACTGATTATTTTTTCAATTAATCGGATTTTTAAAAAAAGGGGGGAAAAGCCCTTTTTTCTATTTTTATAAAACACACTTGCACAGCCCTATTGTCATTATCATCACAAACTGAAAGAACTAAATAGTATTTCACATAATAACAAAAATGGCCTCCTATGCCTTTCATAACAGCTTGCATTCTTGCTGGCATTATGTACTTTGACTAATTGGGTATCTTAAAAAAAAAAAACACTAAAGCACTTGACTATTTTTTTTCTGACTTTCTTTCATAGATAACGTCAATAATTATATTATAGCATTAGAAACACTACTGTTACTAAAGAGCTTACTCATATTGGAGGACTAACCATTACAGAAAGCTAAAAATGATTTTGTTAATCACTAATACTATTAGTTTAGAGCAGCAGTTGCACAAACCTTACATAATTTGTTAGAAACCTTACAAACATTTGCTTGAATGAATGTAAGCACTGTATAGTGAATATAGCTTAAATCTATCAATTTAAAATTTAAATAATAATAAAGATATTAAAAATGAATAAAAACACAAACTTTTATAATAAAAAGTAAATAAGCAGTTCGAATAGAAGTAGAATCGAGAGTGCAAGTGTTAGAGGGACGAGTTTTTTTTTATTAAAAAAAGAAAATGAATAGAATTAGAATAGAGAGTGCCGGAGTTAGGGGGTCAAATGAAGATGGAAGATATGTGTTTTTAGCCGATTCTTGAAGATGGCTAATGACTCAGCTACTCGAATCGAGTTGTGCAGGTCATTGCACCAGGAGGGAACAGTTAATGAAAAAGTCTGTGAAAGTGATTTTGTGCCTCTTTGGGATGGCACAATAATGCACCGTTCAATTGTAGAACGCAAGCTTCTAGAGGGCACATAACTCTGAAGTAGTGAATTTAGGTAAAGGGGTGCAGAGTCAGTGGTGGTTTTGTATGCAAACATTAATGCCTTGAATTTTACGTGAGCAGCTATTGGTAACCAGTGCAAGTTCATGAACAGAGCTGTAACATGCGTTCTTTTCGGCTCATTAAAGATTAATCTTGCATTCTGTCTTAATTGTAGAGGTTAGAATGAACTGGCTGGAAGACCTGTCAATAGTCCAGCCTGGACAAAACAAGAACTTGAACAAGGAGTGGTGTAGCATGTGTAGTTGTGTAGTCTTTTCTAATGTTGTATAAAGCAAATCTGCAGGACCAGGCAGTTTTTAGCAATGTGGTCTGAGAAATTCAGCTGATTTTGAAGGAGTTATTGTTGATGCACCTAGCTGGTTGGTGAAATTGTGATGAAATGATGGGTTTGTTGAAACCACAAGCAGTTCTGTCTTGGCAAGGTTGAGCTGAAAGTAATGGTGTCTGATGAAAGTAATGGTGCCACACCCTTGCTGAAAGTAATCAGCAAGAAATGTCTGTTAGACAAGCTGAGATGCGAGCAGCCATCGTCGGATCATCAGGATGGAATGAGAGGTAGAGTTGAGTGTCATCAGCATAGCAGTGATATGAAAAGCCATGTTTCTGAATGACAGAACCTAGTGATGCCATGTAGACAGAGAAGTAGGGCTGCAACTGACAATTATTTTGATAATTGATTAGTTGACTGATTATTTTTTCAATTAATCGGATTTTTAAAAAAAGGGGGGAAAAGCCCTTTTTTCTATTTTTATAAAACACACTTGCACAGCCCTATTGTCATTATCATCACAAACTGAAAGAACTAAATAGTATTTCACATAATAACAAAAATGGCCTCCTATGCCTTTCATAACAGCTTGCATTCTTGCTGGCATTATGTACTTTGACTAATTGGGTATCTTAAAAAAAAAAAAACACTAAAGCACTTGACTATTTTTTTTCTGACTTTCTTTCATAGATAACGTCAATAATTATATTATAGCATTAGAAACACTACTGTTACTAAAGAGCTTACTCATATTGGAGGACTAACCATTACAGAAAGCTAAAAATGATTTTGTTAATCACTAATACTATTAGTTTAGAGCAGCAGTTGCACAAACCTTACATAATTTGTTAGAAACCTTACAAACATTTGCTTGAATGAATGTAAGCACTGTATAGTGAATATAGCTTAAATCTATCAATTTAAAATTTAAATAATAATAAAGATATTAAAAATGAATAAAAACACAAACTCCGTGTTAACCAGCAGGTAAGAGTAATGTTCTGCAGGAACACACGTTTACTTTTATCACAGTCACGTCTTACTGTCATTTCTTTATCCTGTAAAAGGCGACTATGAAGTGTCTGATATTTATATTCAGAAAATAACATGCTGTTATCCCTTTACAGTTCCTACTCTCATAACTATTTCACTATTTTTAGATGCATTTTGTGCATAGAAAGTGCTGTAATTTGATGTGACCGGCTGAAGTTGGACATGCACTGTGGGCAGACCCAACTAATCGAAAATGAGAATCGTTGTGATTATTTTCATTATCAATAATAATCAGTTTTAATCGATTAGTTGTTGCAGCCCTAAAGAGAAGTGGTCCAAGTTCTGAGCCCTGAGGCACCCCAGTAGCTAGATGTTGCGTCTTGGACACCTCACCCCTCCAAGATACCTTAAAGGACCTATCTGATTAAACCTATCTTGTTTATTTTTTTTAAATAAACAAGCATGTTATAACAGCATAGTTTTGTGCTGTAGTCAAGAACTGTGTGAAATCACTAATATTGGTATCAACTACTAGAAGGTTTGTGACTGTAACAGACCTACTTCCCACCCTTCTGCAGAGTGAGCGATGAGCAGTGCTTGATGATCATGTCTGTGCGTAAGGGGAAACGCCTCATCTCCAGACTCCTCCCCTTCCTGCCACAGCCCCATGCTGCTGCTGTTGTCATGGGAATAGCCAGGAACCTTCCAGCTCTGGCCAAGAAAGACAAACAAGACCAGGTACAGTCACAGACGAGTGGGTATTTGTATGCTTTCTGTGAAGAGAATGAGATGTGGCAAGTTCTATAGGTTATGATTAGCACTAGGAAAAAGGAAGTTTTTTTTAATTTGCATGTTCTCTCTCATAGGTACTGTGTTGGTTGGTAGAGCCAGTGACGGCAGTAATCCAGTCCATATCGAGTACCTCCCTCACTGATCTCCTCCAGGAGCTGCAGGGCAGTGAAGGACAGCTTCCCCTTGTGCTGCAAAATAAGGTATCACTGTCAAATTTTATTTATTTTTTTTAAATGGGAAATGTGCACAGTCTCTTCTGGCTTTTTCTCTAACTAAACCAAAGTTATTTCAGTAATGTATGTGTTGTGTTTGTCAGTTTGGCGTGACGTTGCTCTATCTGATTCTAAGTGAAGGAGAGAGGATGCAGAGCTCCGATCCCAACTGTCAGCTCATGGACGATAACCGCTGGTGAGCATCTGTCTGTGTATTATTATTTATTTTCCCTACAGGCATGCTTGGTATTACACAGGTGTTCATGTGTGAAAGTGGCTAGTGTTGCAGTATTTCATCATGATTCATAGGGCTGGGTTTTGACACAAATTTCACGATTCGATTCTCATTCACAAGCTTGCAATTCGATTTAATTCAATTCAATATCGATTAGTTTGGATATATTTTAGGTATACATGCCACATTTTCTCAAGGAAAAAAATTATCTGAACTAATGCTGTAAAATATACATGAGTCAGTTGATACTACATTCATTACTATAATATTGAAGGTTAAAACTGACCGATTTTTTAGGCTATACAACTGCTTAAATTACACTTAATGACGTTTTTATAATAAAAGTTATGGTAACACTTTCTATGAAGCCCATATTTATAATACATTATAAGGGTATTCTTAAGGCATTATAATGAATGCATAATGCATTATTAAAAATACCTTATAATATGTTATATCATCTTAAAAATGATCATAACAACAATTATAATACATTATAATGCTTACGCATTTGTGGTTATAACTTTTAAGATTATGATTATTTATAACACACAATGAACACCATATTAAATCTACTTTTACATTTATAATGAACTATATATCTTGACATTGTTTATTTAAGTCCTGCACAGTATCTTACTACATCTTGTAAGTGGTTAGTTGTGGAGTGTTATTTGAGTGTTCCTTGCGAGGCTAATATTAATTTTGATGTGAGCTAGTTAATCATTTCAACTGGGAGAAAAAATGCAACGTTTAGATGTTAGGTTACATTTTATTTTGATGGTCCCCTTAGTCTATTGACTATAATCAACTTTGCAACTACATGTCAGCTAACTCTCAATAGAGTATTAGTAGGCTTAGGTTAAGGTTAGGGTTGGTAGAATGTTGACGTATTTGCGAAGTTACTTATAGTCAGTTTGTCTGTTGGGTAACCATCGAAATAGTGTTTGCATATATTTAGCAGACATACTACTAATATACCAATGACTGCTAGTTGACATGTAGTTGCAGAGTTACTTATAAACAGCTGTCTAAAGGGTACCGTCAAAATAATCAAACTGATATTACAGTAAAAATAGTTCAAAACAAATGTCATATTACAAGGCTGTTTGAGAAAAAAAGTATCATCATTATTACAGGGATTATAGTTCCGTCAGTTCATAAAGACACAGTCACTTGCTTCATTCCTGAATGATTCAGCTGTTCGAACGAATCAATTGAATGAATGATTCAGTGATAAAATCAGTGACTTGCCTAGCTTGCCAGTGACTAGCTATAATTTCAGTTATTTAAATCATATTTCTGTATTCAAAATTTTATATTTAAAACATTATTCTCCACATGAATTTATGAATTTAATTGCACTCATGCCACCTCTGAGCCTTATTAAATGTCTAAAAATGTTTTGTACCTACAAGCCACTTTTGTGTTCTTCTGAGCCACCTCTGTAGTACAAATTCATTTATTAATACTAATTTCATGTGATTGGTAACTTATTTGTATTATTACATTGTTTTAAATAGAAATTTTAAAAAGATTTTTGAAACATAAATGTTTGAATTTGACAGATGAAAATTATGCCATTACAAAGGAAAATAAGAAAATACTCCTGTAAGTCACTTTAAGGAGTCAAATGTCACCTCATATTAGGAAGGTTAATTTTTGATTATTGATCAGAAGGTGCTCCTACATTTTTAAATTAGGAGGACAAGCGCTCCTAATTACAAGAAGAAGAAAAACTGCTCTTAAACTGGGTGTGTGACAGGTTTGGTCGACGAAAAATTCAGTCAAAAGATTTTCTTTGTTTTTTTGCTTTAACCCCATGCAATATAATAAGTACAATAAGGTAAATAAGTTACCAATCATATGAAATTAGTATTAATAAATTAATTTGTACTACAGAGGTGGCACACAAAAGTGGCTTGTAGGTAAATTTTCAGACGTTTAATGAGGCTCAGAGGTAGCTTGAGTCCAATTAAATTCATAAATTCATGTGGAGATTAATGTTTTAAATATACAATTTTGAATACAGAAATATGATTTAAATTACTGAAATTATACCTAAAAATTAAACTAAATCCGCCAGCAGGTGGCGGCAAGTCACTGATTTTGTCACTGAGTCATTCATTCAATTAGTTCAAATGGTTGAATCATTCAGGAATGAAGCAAGTTACTGTCTTTGTCTTTATTAACTGACGGAAATCCGTCGTAGCGACGGAACTTTAATCCCTATTATTATTATTATTATTATTATTACTGTACTTGTAAGTGGTCTTTGATTGCTTTAAGTAAAGTAGCATAAGAAAGATGGCAAGATATGAGACTTATAATACATTATAACTATGAAAAATATAATTCATTGTTACTTAAGTGGATGCAACATGTTCACTGTGTTATAAATCATCGTACTCTTAAAAGCTATAACCACAAATAAGTAAATATAATAATACATTAAAACTGTTCTTATGAATATTCATAAGATATAACATATTATAAGATTTTTTTATAATGCATTATGCATTCATTATAATGCCTTAAGAACACCCTTATAATGTATTATAAATATGGGCTTCATAGAAAGTGTTACCCTTTAGGACAGGATGCCTATACCTATCGAAACATCCCTGTGCCTTTATACAGAAAGTTTAAGAAGCTACTTAATATTGCCTTTTAGTCAAGATATATTCTATTATATGGCAAGCTAAGGGGAACTCTAGTTAGACAAATTTACATTTCTCTTTCCGGGTCTACATGTTCTTCAGGTTCCAACTGATAAGTATGAGCATAATCATCATAAGTATGAGTAATGAGTTTATGGTCACCGAATATGTTTTTTCTGAGGTAAATGTGATGTTACGTGACATTGTTTACAAGCCGTTATATTGGCGCCTTTGCGCGGCTGAAACACTGATTGAGCGATTACATGAGACTAAATCACTCCCATATGCGACTAAATCTTACTCTGGGCGACTAAATAATGTCTAACATTAGCCATTGGCTAATAAATTCTTAGATTTTACATGCCAGTATGTGTGTGAGAGGCGTTCAACACAGATTTTCACTCGATAAACACGCTGACTGAGCTCTTGAGAGTGTCGCTCTCCGTCAAGCGATCTGTACTATTTGGATGCGCTCAATGGATCATGTCATGTACTCAATGGATGAGCAGTATGTAGCACGCAGCGCTCCTGTATTTGACGTACCGTAAACTAGTGTGAAGGCGCACGACTCACCGTCGCTTTACTGATAGCACTGTGTTTCTCACACATGCAAAGAGAGAGAGCGAGAGTCTTGCATACCACGCTGAATCGACGCGCTACATGTAAACCATATTCTTTGTTGTATTTTCCTGTCAAAATAACAGAGTTCATTTAGAATTATTCAGCTTTTAAGAACAAGCAGAAGATATGCCGGTTTCTCGGCAGTGAGCGGAGCTAATGCGCGAACAGCTCTCGTTGGCTGGCGCTCATCTATTACCGTCCCTATTTTGATTTCAGCAAATCAGTTCGCGCGAACGCTGACAACGTGATTAATATTCATGAACCCAGCAGATAATAATAGTAGTAGTAGTATCTTTTAATAATAATTACTATTACCTATGACCAACAATATCTTAAACACCACCACCAGTCCTAAGTTCAGTTAAAATGACAAGTATGCATTCATTCATGGTTACCAAGTTTTAGTTCTAATCACTAGTTATATCATTAAATAGTTATCATAATATCATAATATAATGCTTGATTGGCTGAAGTCAAGAGTGCACGTTCAGTTATTTAAGAAGCTGTTACATTTTACAAAGAGAAGCTGATTGGGTGGATGTGTGTGTGTGTTCCTACTTAACCATATTTTGGGGACAAATTTGTACCCAAAAGTGAGCAAAACCTGACAAAATCGGCAAAAACATCAATTTGTGGATGTCCTCATTTGTAAAACTGTTATAAAAATATATATTTTTTTAACTTTTGAAATTGTAAAAATGCAGAAAGTTTTCTGTGAGGGGTAGGGGTGGGTTTAGGTTAAAAAGTGTATAACTATCTGTATAAAAAAACAATCGAAGTCTATGTAATGTCCCCAAGTAAACGCGCGCGTGTGTGTAAACTAGTATATCAGTCTGGCGAGTAAACACAAAAAAATTACTAGCCAATGGCTATTATATTGCCACGGTGTGCGTAGAGGGTTGCAGATTGTAAAGTTGTACTCTTTCTTTTAACTTGCCTTCAGATGTTTAGATACTTACTTTGTACTTACTTTTAGTTTTTTGACCTGGAGGGCTTAATTTCTTTGTGCAGAGCAGACTTTGTAACTTTGAGAGAACCACTGTATCATCTCATGCACCCTGATAAGCGGCTGATTCCCTTCAAGGTCATAACTGTTGTTAACGGAGGAAATTTCTGTCTCTTTTGCTAAGACCCATCTAAAATTCAATATTGCTGCTCATTTCTTAGGTCTCCTCTTGCTCTTGACAACTTTATCTGCTTGGTTTGAAGAAACAGTTTGGCCCATCACAATAAATAGATTAACAAAATACTATACACCTGCAGGTATTATTGTGGGGAAAAAATGCCATTTACCTTTTCTGTTGAAAACTCTTTTTACTGCTTCATATTTTTGCGGAAACCGTGATACTTTTTATTTTATTTTCAGGAGTGACTGATGATTAGAAAGTTCAAAAGAACAGCGTTTAAAAATCAATTCATTTGTTAAAAGTCCATGATGAAGACATTGTGTAAGGCAATTATTTAGGATAAACAGGAATGTTTGGTTTTAACTACGAGTGGCTTTAGATCCAGACTGCATTGCATAGATAACACACACACATACACATAACACAATGTCAATAACGAAAGTGTAGATTACTGCGCTGCTTGATCTTAACTTGTCCTATGAAATCTGACCATTGCAGGCTTTGAATGATCCTGATGTGGCCTTGGCTGATGCGGTAGGTGCAGGTCTCATTGAAGGCCGTCTGATTCAAGTGTCGTGTCA